TGGGCGAGACTTGCAGACACTCTTTCACCAGATCATGCAGACACGCGTACCGCGGATTAGGCGGTAACGGTGGATACTTGCCATTCACAATTGCTAGCTTGTTACCTGCAGGATAAGGAGTGTTTTAAAGAGAGAAAGAGACTCTATTGTTGTATATATTCGTTTTTGCTGAAAGAATGCATTTCTAATAATGGTTTCTTTCGATTTGTTTCAAAACACATTTATTATATTAACATAATTATAAATTAACAATAATGATAAATTTTATACATAGGATAAAGCTATTAGAAAAAAGGATTTAAATATCTTCCTTGAACTTACGAAGTCCTCTGAAATATAATTCTGTAAACATTTCTAATGTACATACATTTAATATAAATTAAATAAGTTTATCTCTTGAAAATTATTTTGTTTATATTTAAATTTCCGCATGCATAATTCATCAGGCTATCATTAAGTTAACTGATGTTAATATCAGCTACAATATGCATGCAAGGGATAAAATATACAGGGTGTCCGGATATTCAACCGACAAACTTTCAGAAATTGTCGGGGCATCCTAAAGATCACTTTTTGCAAATGGACCTAGGGTCGGAAACGCATCGTTACATCGCTACGATATCGGGAATGTCGGGGGCACAAGGCTCTGAGCAAGGTAGCCTGTCATGCACGTGACGTCATAAACGCTTAATTTAGACAGCACATGGCGCGTTGCTTGTCCGAAAAGTACCGCAATTAGATAGCAGTGGCCGACTATACTCTGTAAGTCAATGCCGGAAAATAGAAACATGATCCTTATGTGCTTTCTGAGCATGTCTAATTTCTCAATATGTTCTTCCTCGTCTTGTTCAGCCACTGCCATTTAATTGCGGTACTTTTCGGACAAGCAACGTGCCATGCGTTGTCTAAATTAAGCGTTTGTAACGTCACGTGCATGGCAGGCTGCCTTGCTCAGAGCCTTGTGTCGCCGACATTCCCGACGTCATAGCGATGTAACGATGCGTTTCCGACCCTAGGTCCATTTGCAAAAAATGATCCTTAGGGTGCCCCCGACAATCTCTGAAAGTTTGTCGGTTGAATATCCGAACACCTTGTATTAGCTTCATATAATTAAAAAAGAAGACTAAAAAAAAATCACGTTCATATTCGCGTTGTGCTAAAAATCATTGAAATTATATTTTGCATATCTCTCTCTCTCCCCCCTCCCCCTCCCTGTGTGCGCGCGCGCGCGCATATGTATGTATGTATGTATGTGTTTTTTAACTTCCATGAGAGATATTTAAATATTCTGTTTTTAGTGACTTGCCCTATGTATATCCATACATTATATTATAATTTACAGATTGCACTTGTATCGCATCTTACCTTCGGGAAACGGATGCCGCAATGTAATCAAAGAATATAATATGCATCCTAAAGCCCAACAATCCACTGGAGGCCCTATAGGCTCATTGTTCCATGTATCCATCATTTCCGGGGCGCGGTACATAGGGGTTGTATACTTGGCCATTTGATCCTCCAGTGTGGCGCGTTTTTGAGCATTCCATGATGGATTCGGCAATATTTGTTGAGTTGACGCGCTACCAAAGTCGCAGAGTTTCACGAGGCCGTCTCTTCCAAGTAGAAAATTTTCCAGCTTAATATCACGATGTACGAAGGGTTCCGGTTGCTGACTATGCATGTGATGCACTGCTCGTGTTGCCTGATAGGCTATCTTGCACACCTGGGCGAGACTCAGTGTATTCGCAGACACACTTCTAAGTATATCAGCTATGGTACCGCCGGGACATAGTTCGGTAACGACCAAGTACTCGTAACCCTTACGATCCTCTCGTTCCAGCCGTTGAGCGTACAAGAACTTGATAATATTTGGGTGACCCGACAGTCTCTTCAGTGTTTCTATTTCTTGTATGATAATCTTATTCGCATCTTCATCGACGGCGATAAGTTTCTAGCAAAGACAATTTTATAATATAATACATTCCAAGTAAAGAAAAAGATCTGAAGTACCTCAAATGTATATTTTTTTACCTTAAGCGCATATTCTTTTCCTGTGGCAATGTCTTCTACTGCAAACACCAGAGCCCATCCACCTGTTGATACGATGTTTGCCACAAATTATCTAAATGTTAATAATGATACATAATTCGATTATAACAACTATATATGTCTCATGTTGCTATCATGTGCATAGATAAATGCTATACATGTATTATGCAACAATATGTGATTAAATAATGCTTATTTATTTTAGAAAGTAAATCCAGCTAAATATTTCTATAAATGTTATAATTGTCTTAGATGTTAAACGCAGGAAGATAAATACCTGATAACTCGAGTAGAACATTTATATACAAATATATAAATCCAATAGTCTAATTCTCTTATTTGGAGTAATTAATTAACATTAGGACTGATAATTTGACAATGTATATCAATATTGACAAGTACTATAAACTGACAGTATAAAATCTAACAAAAGACTGGTATGTATGATGGAAAAGGAGAAAAATAAATAAAAAATATGAGCACTAACGTCAAAATCATCATTTTGGTTCGCTTGTCAAAACACACATTTGACACATATGATAGATGTCATATGAGATCTGGCACAAGATCTATTTTTTTTCGTTTTTTTCCTTCTCTCGGCGATATTATCGACTTTACGCGGAAAACGAACAATTCTGCGATTGACCTTATCGCGGTAGGAGGTGCCAGCCGGAGATTTGACAGCCGGAGATAGACTCACCCTCGGCGATCAGTCGCGTCACCCGCAGTTTCACATTGTTAATGTCCAATGTCTGGCCGACGTACTCGTTGCCTCCGCCGTTGCCTCCGTTCAGGTACCCGAGCGCGGACCTTAAATAGTCCGACATATTTTTCTGGATCTATCTCCAGTGCGAGCGCCTCCCGGACAACCCGCTCTCACAGTCGCGTTGCAGACAGCCGATACTGTCCGGCCATATTGGCGCGATGAAATCATCGGCGCGCGCAGTCAATCTTCTTCTGTCATCTTTGGCGCGGATTTCATGCATACATGGGTCGATCATGTAATATTCACGTGAAACTTTTCACTTTTTATTTTTCGCTTTTCGCTTTTCATTTTTCACTCATCCATATTTCACGTAAAACTTTCCACGTGTAGCAATTATGTACGTAGCACGTAGCTTGAATGCGCGGAAAGTGAAATCGTTAAACATGAGGGTATCGATTCTGTAATTCAAGTGAAGGTGAAAATTACAAAAATGAGCGAATTTACTAAAAAATTTATAATTTCATTGATCCAAACCTAGTAAATTTGAAAGACATAAATTTCATTGGTCCAAACCTAGTAAATTTGTTCATTTTTGTAATTTTCACTCTTACTAAAATTATAGAATCGATACCAAGGTTTGTTCCCTAGACTTATATAATAGACTGAACATCCCCGTAAAGCCCGTATCACACTACGCATTGCGGACGCAGATCGGATTTGGATTACGGACTGCTAATCGTCAATCATCCAATCAGATCCTTGGCTACTTCGCTCTGATTGGATGGATGACGATTCGCAGTCCGTACTCCAAATCCGATTCGAGTCCGTAATGCGTAGTGTGACACGGGCTTAATGCCCGTATCAAACTACGCATTGAAGATTAAGGGCCAATTTCACCAAGCTCGGTTAAGCCCGTATCAGACTACGCATTGAAGATTAAGATTGAAGATCGAAGATTGAAATTTGACCAATCAGGACAAAGAAATTTTAGTCCCTTTTGTTCTGATTAGTCAAATTTCAGTCTTTAATCTTCAATCTTCAATTTTCAATGCGTAGTCTGATACGGGCTTTAGATTAACTGACGGTTAAAATTAGCAGGGTGGCCAACAGAAAATAGAGGTGAAGGAAAACCAAGCATTCTTATCATTTCAGTTAAAACCCTGCTAATTTTAACCGTCGGTTAATCTAACCGAGCTTGGTGAAATTGGCCCTAAGATTCAAGATTCAAGATTCAAGATTCAAGATTCAAGATTGAAATTTGACCAATCAGAATAAAGAAATTTTAGTCCTTTTTGTTCTAATTAGTCAAAATCCAATCTTTAATCTTCAATCTTCAATCTTCAATCTTCAATCTTCAATTTTCAATGCGTAGTCTGATACAGGCTTAAGAAGAGCTGAATACTACATTAGAAAGAGAGAGCAACAGTGGCCTAGTTTACACCATAGACATATAGTGCTGTGTTCCGATTCCCCACCCGAGTGCACCCGATATTATTCTTCTTCTTTCTTTTATGGCTGGTTGGGCATTAGTCGCCCATACACCATTGTTTCTTATGGGTTTGTAAGATATAAGCAAAAACTCTTCTTAAGAGAGGAGGAAGTCCAAAAAAAAAAGGTCCAGACAAAGGACATACGCAGTACACAAAAACACGTCCGAACCCGACACGTTGTCAGTCGGAACCATAGACATAGGCCGGTATTCATAGTCAGTTCTTATTTCAAGACCGTCTTAAGTAATGTCTTAAGATGCTAATACGGCTCTGTGATTGGTTTAGGACATCTTAAGATTGTGCTTAAGACGGTCTTAAATATAAGAACTGACTTCTGTGTGTTGACTGAAGTTTAAGATTACGTACGAGTTTAAGTTTAGAATCAGTACTCTTAACGTAACGTAATGCATTAGTCCGGATCTACAATAGGTGATTTAAGCCCTAAGCCTTAAGAAATTGACTAATCACAGTCGAGTATTCTCCTCATACTTGGCTATGATTGATCAATTTCTTACGGTTTAAGGCTTAAATCACCTATTGTAGACTGGCACTTACGGAAAAGCTTGTGCAGTGGCCCTAAGACGGTCTTAAATATAAGAACTGACTATGAATACCGACCTTAGAACATATATAAATGGAAGGGGAATAGCAGGCTGAAAAGGGTCGGAAGGAAGTGAGAAAGAAAATCGTAGTTGCCTCTCTCTTGTGAGTAACTACACATACAAGCATCGTGTCTGTAGTATACATATTTTTGTATACACACACATGCATAGACATAGTATATCTAGACCGAGTGTTGAGGAGTGGGGGAGAAGTTGGTGTAAAGATACACGTAGAAAAGAACATACTCTGTTTCGTGCCGTGACTAATGTAACCTTATTTTTCATTGAGCCATACCGGTAAGCCGTGCATGCGCACTTTTGAGCAGTTACTCACAAGAGAAAGGCAACTATGATTTTTTTTCTTACTTCCTTCCGACATATTTTTCTATCGGGAAACAAAGGCCCCTTCCATTTATATATGTTCTAAGGTTGCGATAAACAAACGCGTGCTGTAGAAAAAGAGGTACTATATGGGAGGCCTAGAGGCCTAGGCCGGTATTCATAGTCAGTTCTTATATTTAGGATCGTCTTAAGCACAATCTTAAGATATCCTAAACCAATCACAGAGCCGTATTAGGATCTTAAAACATTACTTAAAACGGTCTTGAAATAAGGGTGCAAACACATGGCAGCGGAAAAGCGTAACGCGGAACAAGAGCGGACCAATCGTGAGCGTAGCGAAAACTGCAGAACGCTCGCGATTGGTCATGCTCTCGTTCCGCGTTACGCTATTCCGCTGCATGAGTTTGCACCCTAAGAACTGACTATGAATACCGGCCATAGAGTCCTATATAATCAGAGAAGCGACAATGGCGTTCCGCTTGTTGATTGGCTGACCGCCACGGGCCCGTTCCACTCCGCGCTCCATGTAATGGCACCCTGACGCTCGACGCTCATTTTTAGCGTCAAAATAGGTTACGTGATTAAAGTTGACGCTACATTGTGAAAAACGCATGAAAAGGGTTTAGCATCGAATTTATAGCGTTAATACTGTATGTGAATCATGTCATTCAGAAACAAATATTACATGTGATTAAGCGAGTGTACGAAAAAATTATCAGAACGAAATCGGCAATGTAAGAAACTTTTAGCAGCAGTTCTGATAACTGATGAATTACAAAAATAGGAATAAAGAAATTATCGTAGGAAACGTTATTGGGTAAATCCAATATTCATAGAACGATACAATCATGGATTTTACCACGCATTTTTCCCTGTCATTATTTTGGAAGATTCAGGACACGATTCAGGAAAAAAAAAATCTTATTCATATGGCCAACAGCACGGCTTGACGCTGAAGCTGAGGAAATCCAGCTTTTTTTTCTTGACGCTAGCGTCGAGTCGAAGTCACGTGACCACATGCAACGCTAAAGGGCATTCTACAATGGCAGTAACAAGGCTGTAGGAGTAGGAGAGTATACTGTTTTTAGTGATGTAAAGACCGAGAGTAACGAAATGGG